TCGCTAACCAGCACCAAGTAGTTACGAGGGTCAAAATCCGAACTGAAACAATGCTCTCATTGGGCAAGAGAGCTACTAAAAGTGAAGGTATCCCTGTAACAGGCCGTGGAGGCCCGTAGGTTGTGAGATGTTGAGGCTCCCACATTTTCTAGACAATAGGCTCATAGATGGCGATAAAGTTGTCAGCGTTACGCGCCGGCCGCCCTCTTCCCCCCAAGAATATTCCTGGTACTCATTTATGTTAGAGGCTGAGTCGATCCCAGGGTCACAGTGCGGCTGGAAGGACTAGGTAGATTAAAAAAATCAACCTCATTGGGATTCGATCCCGCGACCTTTCGGCTTATAGCACAGTGCCTCAACCAACTACGCTATCGCGTGCCCCCACTAAAAATGAACAAAACTAGATCAAAATCAAAATGGCTGAACATAATTTCGTGTAGAGAGGCGCGTATAAGTCAAGCCGAGTTTGAACTGAAATCAGTCAGGTAGTTTGGGTGCTCTTACATGACGAAAGTAAAAGGTGTTTTTTCTGTAATGCACCTAAAAGTGTATGACTGAAAACACTTTCATTTGTACTTCCCTCTCTATGTTCATCTATCTGCCCAACTTTCAGGCATTTAATAAACTCCCCCAATGTAGGGGGGTTACGTCTTCTTCACTGGTAAACTCGACTTCCCACCGTAGTTATTAATCGAGGCTTCAATGTAAATCATTCGTGCCCGAGAACCACCATAAGTCACCAGACCAAAGGACGTGTGAACAGGTCTGTACTTATTTTTCGGTGTTATAAAATAAAACGACAGTTTTCAACGCCATCCTTGTTGCATTTTTGAAACCTGTGGATCATCAAGTCATTTCTGAACATCAAACGACGAACTTCGGCATGTCTAAACTAATTATCAATGTTCCACGGATAAAGTATGGGTGTTTGTGAATGCGATTCAAGAAGTCTCCCTAGGAATTTTCTAAGCTTGAGCTACCAAACTGGTCTTCAGAATATTAAACTGACCATACTCTACCGCTCACAAAATTAATACAAACCTCTGAAACAATTAACTGTATGGTGCAATAGCATAAAACCCTACAGCCGCCACTGGACACAATCTTAAACCATTTCCATCTGGCTCCTGTCCTCAGTATCTCACCTACCCAAACATTCATCTTAATGTTATCCACCAGCTCATTTTCAGGTTTACAAGTCACAAGCAAACTTCTGCATAAATGTCTTCGTTCTGCCATACAAGCTACACGTACATCCCACAGAAATAGTCTGATTTAAGTACCATAATAATTCTATGAGAGCTGTACAAATCATAGTTTCATACTGCTTACAATAATCACTCTGTTCTTACTTCACAGCATAAAGCATGCTATAAACTTTTCAAACAAACTTTCATCATAACCTGAACTCTGTTTGCTAATGGCGCTTCTCACATTTAAAATCTGAATATTTTTTAAATATCTCATATTAGTAATTAAAATTAGAACATTCTGAACACTTATGTTCCATAACATGCTCAGTTATTGCAAATTATATAATATATAAAGTCCAACCTCAGAGAACACATAACCTAAATGCAACTAATCAATTCTACAGCCTTCAGAATTAACACTGCCTACTGAGCAGCCAATCATCTCATTACCACTGAAAGCAAATGCTCAACAGTTTTAACAAACATGCACATTATTTGCAAGTCCATCACAAACACCTGAAATTAATCTCGTCATCAAACTATTCTGCCACACACAAAGTCTTTATCATTTCACCCATATTATTTCCATTAGTATTTGAACTTCAGCTCAAGCAATAACAAAAATTTTACACTACCAATGATATCATTCTGCCTTGTATATGTATCCAACCACATTCTGTACACCAAAGTACAAAATGGCAGAATTGTGTAGACAGAAGTATTCAAAATGGTAGATCATCACAAAGTTAATAGAAAGTCCATCGAGTGTAACAATTTGTAGGTCACTTTTCATTATTATTTCTGCCTTACATGTTTCGGTTTGACACAACCATGCAGTACACAGCACACAGCACACAGGAACATATCAAACTATAAGCCATACAACCTCAAGCTGACGTCTCCCATCTTCGGGATGAATTAACAAGGAGGAGTTCAGCATTTTATATCAAATATTTTAACATTTTAGCGTTTTAACTTAAAAATAGGTTCGGATGAAATGTGAGAACTTGAGAGTGTACTCAACTATCTTAGCATGTTTTGTGCTTTTACACGTCAACATATCGTAGCAACGTCCACACGACAAACATAATTGTGAACATCAAAAACACCGACAGTGTTTCCATAATTATAGCAAGTGTCTCTGATGATGGTTGTGTCAAACCGAAACATGTAAGGCAGAAATAATAATAAAAAGTGACCTACAAATTGTTACACTCGACGGACTTTCTATTAACTTTGTGATGATCTACCATTTTGAATACTTCTGTCTANGTAGATCATCTTCATCACTTCACAAACTTAAAGGTTTTCAACAGAAATATATATTAACAGAATGCAGAAATGTATTAGTGTAATTATAAACAGAATCTCATATATATTGGGTCCATCAACAAAAATGTAATGATGAAATATAATAAGCATATTCTGTGCACAGCACACAGAAATACATTATTAAAACATCCAATGCTCTCTGCTAGACACACTGACACACTGTATGAATCTGAAAGCTATTTCTGAAGGCCAGGGATAATAGCATATGCACTCACACCATTCTGAAAGTTGCACAGTGGTGCTCTGATATCCTGTGCTGCAGTGATTGTTTCAATCAAGACAATGAATTCATGTAAATAACATTTAAATACTTTCATACTGTGTGGTCTTTTGGGATATGTCATGCTGCATAGTCTCACGGATTACTTTTGTATATATGCATTACAGCCTCAAACGCAACACTTACTGCCTCCGTCTTACATGTGGTGACCTATGTTTTGGTCCGTCTCCTGCTTTCCACATTCCTGGGCTTCACTACAGTTATTCAGAGTCAAAACTGACCTTTTGATACAAACTTTGGGAAATTCTCTTTCAGAGTGATGTTCACATTGACTTAAAAATGGCAAGAGATTATCCACAGAATCCCTGACATGGAGTATCAGAAAAACCTTAACTGTAGTATCAAATTTGTTATAATCAATTGAACATCAAAAATGTTTCTGCTTCTCACTGCTGCACTAGTTCTGTTAATGTTTCATAATACTCAACACAATATTTGGGTGTGGACTAGATTCATCTGGCTTAGCAAAGAGGCTTCCTGTAAACACTGCAGTGAACCTGGGAAACATGCAAGATAGGAACATCGTGCCCAGCCAAACAACTAATAGCTTCTGAAGGACACTGTTCTGTGGAGCTAGTTCACAAAACTCAAATGTTGTGCCTGTCCTATCTACACAAGCGAACAACAGGATTAACTTCATGGTACGTTGTATTGTAATTTCTAATTGTTAAAATGAGTGAAAATTAATATCAAAAAATGCACTTCTACAGCATAATGTGGCCCATAGAGTCCATAAGGCAGATCACACAACAGGTTCACTTAAAAATCAGGGGATTCTGGATTCCAAGAAATTCACTTGATACCATATTATGAAGTACCAGCAGGATTTACACATGGGCCTTAGTAACTTGCATGTGTCACTCCACTAAAATTAAAGTTAATGTGTGCTGAAATACATAATTTACTCTCTCTGAAATTTGAATCATACAATAACTAGATCCAAGCGTGAATTAACAATTTCTATCTCAAAGATTTGTCATTCCCACTCTGGTTTACTTCACCCAAAGCTGGGTCTCTGGTGAAAATTTCAAGCATATTACTTACTTACTCATGGAGCTAAGCCCTTCTGGAGGAGCCGCCATTTCTGCAGCTACTCAAGAATTTCCCAGCATTTTGTGGAACCCAAAGGTTCATTACCATGTTCAAAAGAGCCCTCCGTTGGTCCCTATCCTGAGCCAGATCAATCCAATCCATACCATCCCATTCTATCTCTCTAAAATCCATTTTAATGTTGTCCACCCACCTATGCCTTGGTCTTCCCAGTGGTCTCTTTCCTTCTGGCTTTCCCACCAATATCTTATATGCATTCCTCATTTCCCCCCATTTGTGCTACATGCCCTGCCCACCGCATCGTCCTCATTCTGATTATACCTGGAGAAGAGTGCACGTTACTAAGCTCCTCATTATGCAGTTTTCTCCAACCTCCTGTCACTTCATCTCTCTTCGGCCCAAATATTCGCCTCAACACCCTGTTCTGAAACACCCTCAGTCTATGTTCCTCCCTTAATGTCAGAGACCAAGTTTCACACCAATACAGAACCACTGGCAAAATTATAGTTTTGTATATTCTAATTTTTATGTTTTTTGACAGCAGACGAGAAGACAAAAAGTTCTGGACTGAATGGTAGCAAGCATTACCCTAATTCAATCTGCTCTTAATTTCCTCCTGAATCAGGTTTTGATTTGTTATAGTCATTCCCAAATATCTGCACTGTGCCACATTTTCAAAACATCTGTTTCCTATCTTTATGTCATGATTTTGCGCTGCATTTTGGTGACGAGACAGCAACATATTATTACCTAATAGTAATAATAATAAAAAAAAGACACACTATTGTTATCCACAGCAAAGCAAACATGCACATGTACTCATCTGGAATAGACTGAAAACTATTGCTTGCTACATGTTAATTCTGGGAACACAAAAAGGCATGTTTTAATTATATTTCTGTTTGACTTCTAGTAGCAACCAGTATCTTCAACCCTGCATATATGAACATGATATTCATGTTTCAATACATTATTCTTGCTTGTGCCTCATTTAAGCTTGATTTACAAGACTAATTACACACTACAGTACGTGCCTAGCTCCACACTCGGATGCTGCAAATGGCATGCAGTCACTCCATGACATACAGCAGGCTTAGAATTGTGTGGACCCATACCTATGGATTCGATATAGAATTCCCACAAACCTTTGAACTTGCACAGGTTTTCTTCATACCCTTGCTGAGTTTTGTCAAACGCAGATCCATCATTGAGCGCTTCGGCCGGGTCGAAGCCAAGTCGATCTTTGTAGTATGCCTGTGTTGACATGGTGGGTGTGTGCGCCTTACTGAAGCTATATGTCTTGAAATATCATGGATGTAACAGGTGCAAAAATCACCGTAGCTACAGTGAACTTCAGCAGATGTCAGTTTGCACAGCACAACACACTGATGAGACCACTGGTTTAATGAAGCAGCACTTGTCTTACACAAGGATGTTATTAAAAATGATTCACTTATATGTTGGTAAAGTTACCACTTTCCTTTAACTGCGATTACATCACCCTGTTCTTAGTATACTCAGCAGCAACTAGGAGGGACCAGCACCTATACCACTGTGTGTCTCTTCGTCTGGTGAGGCTGTCTGCGGTACAAAGTCAAGTGATACACTGACAATTCTTTACACTTTAGAGAGACGCATACCTTATGTTCTGGTTTTTCTTTAATGTGGGCGCTCACCACCTAACCTCCACTCACACAAGACATAACTGGTCCCTCTGGCTTTCTGTAGGTGGAGCAACTTTTGTGCCTAGGAGTTGCCTCGCTACCTACCTACTTGGCTTGCCTTCCTCTCACCTCTCTACAGTAAAACTGACCCAAAGTATGTGTTTGTGGTTTGCTTGTCACCTTAAAAGGTGGTCACTATTCTTTGACCCTTTCTGGAGACTCCAGCATCTTGCGACGTCACTGAGGAGAAAAACTGCGAAATGGATGTAGTGGGGATGAGGAGAGGGAAGACTCTGAGTAGGTTTATGTAAGAGGCGTAGCAGTTCAACAACTTTCTTTAAAACAGAAGCAGACGGGGGGGGGGCGAGCTTATATTTATATTGTTGTATTTCGTTCACACCTACACACAAGATGTATTTCGTACTAAACTTGACCACAGTTGGATGACCCGACCACTGTCTGACGGACCACACATTGAAACCTACACGTCTTATTACAAAAAAAATCGCATTACTCCACGGTGAGATACCATTGTTAAGGTACACACTTCAGACCACCAGCGACTCATCTCCACGTTTTGATCTCTTGCACCTGTATCGTTATTAGGAATGAAGCCAACCAATTCAGGCACATCCCAGCTCACCAACAGATGTCGGTCGAAACATCTACGTATTAATCCACCCACAGATCGGTTTACGTTGTTCGTACTCGTAACTTTATCATTATTCTAATCTTCATCTGCCTACGTGTAACCGACTTTCCTCCCATACCACTCACAGCAGGCAGCCACACACGTTCACCGGTTCAGTTCCACAGACAACCGGTAGAGGAGGCCTGACGTCAAACATCGTAAGCGACACAGATACTCCAGTAACACGCGTCGTAGGGTCTGTTGGACGACGAACAAAAAAGTGGAGGATAAAATATAGACGATATATCCTACTTTGAATACGTAAACCACTGACGGAGGGGGCAGCGGTTTAAGTTCTAGTACTGTGTAATAATGATATATGCACTGAAATCTTAAGTTCATTCACAAACATAGCAAGTCAATACTGAGTCAGTTTTAAACGGCTGCGAAACTTTCCTAAAATAACGATATGCTTCCTCCTGGTCCACCACCAGGATTCACACTCGAAGCCCGTTTCGTAATTAAAAAATCATTTGCTGTTTCGACCCCTTATATGCTTCTATTTTTGGCGTAATATTTTTTAAGAGTCACTAACCCATGCTTGAGTATAAAATATAAAACCGAGGGAATTGCATTCGCATGAAGAGGGATAAGGTCGGCATAATTAACAGTTTCGTGGATTGCTTGCAGCAATAATTTCATCAGATGCACGTGATAAATAGGCTCGTTATGTAGAACTTCATAAACGACACACTGAGTCATCGGAAATGTGGTCTGACCCTTCTCTGCCTCACGAAAGTATAAAACAACAGCAGTTCTTCGAGAATAGGTACTGTATCTCGCATCATACAGCACAGATAACACTGTGCAAGGTTAATTATTACTATTACGTCAATAACCTGTTTAATTGCTGTTTAAAAATCAACGTGTTTACGTGATATAAACATCGGATAATCCAGTATTAAACAATTCAATGTCAGATATATCCGTCTTGCAGGGATGTGGGATTTTTCTGCAAAATTTGTTTCATGTTTCGAAATCTTGTATAGAAATAAAAAAAAATAAATACCCTTTCATGTTTGTGATAATGAGCTCTAAAATGTCTCCCTCGGAAGTTCACCCGCAGAACTTTGCTAGAGTCAGTAGAGCCCAACCCACGGTGCTACAATTAGTTTGCTACATGTTAACATCATTTTCATACTCTTCGGCAAATATAATTAGGATGATAAGTCGTAGATGAGCTGGGTACGCAGCAAGTGTGGAGGAGAAGGGAGTTTTGTGGGAAAGCAAAACGATAAGTACCACTAGGAAGACCTAGATAATATGAAACTGGATCTTACACAGAATGGGGTGGCACGGACCGGGTTCGTCTGGCTCAGTATCGAGATCAGTGGTGGGCTCTTGTGAGCACGGCAATGAATCCTCGAATTCTATAATACGCTGAAAATTTACTGTGCAGCTGAGCGACTGGTGGCTTCTCAAGAACGACGCGGCTCCGTGGAGGTCACATCATCTTCTCATGCAAGTACTCATCTGCCAAATTATCTGGAAAATGAGTAGCGTGGCGTGAGGGTGTCAACTGGATGCATTTGGCTCAGGACGCTGTCCGGTGGCGAATTCTTGTGAAAACAGTAACGAGCCTTAGAATCGCATAACCAGTTACCGACGTAACTCCACAAGGAAAGTTGTGATCAATGGAATACGTCGGTCGATCGTTTGGTTGGCTGGTTCTTAGTTAGTTTGCGTATCGTCCTTTCGTGTTGGGAGCCCAAGATAACACAACTTTTAAGTATATAAAAACAAAACAAAATCCGTGGCTTTAGTCCTCAAGTGAACTATACCGGCCGAGCGACCGCCGTTGTCGGCGAAGTTAGTGCCAACTTTAGCGGATAGAGGATGTCGCGTGGTCAGCGCAACGAATCCTCACGGCCGTTAATTTCGGTTTTCTAGACCGGAGCCGCTATTTCCTTGAAATAGCTCCTCAATTATCCTCACGAGGCTGAGTGGACCCCGGTTCCAGACTGCAAGTATATAGGAAATAAAACTATTAAAGTTGTACACTAGGAACCCTGAATCCCGCATTTACAGTTACTTACTTACTTTACTGATTTTTGCAATTACAATACTTTTCCTGTATCAAATACGTGTGGGAAAGTAACATTTAATAATATACTTTAACGCGAGTCGAAATTATTTTGCTAGATACTAACAGTACTGTAATTGCATGACAGAAACACGTAAGATACTATCTAGATAATGCTACTTACTGCTTTGCTGCTTCGGTGACTGTATCGCCATATATTTAAAAAAACACCGTTTTTTTCAAAATTGCATACGTAAGGAATACGTACTGAAATGAGCTGTGACAGAATGGGAAATCGCACATTACGCGAGAGGACAAAATTTAATTCCTTATTATTAACAAGTGGAGTAACTTTATTTTGTTATGATCTTTGCTGTTGGGAATCCTCCTGCCCTCTCTCGGTAAGGAGCTTTAACTAGATACAAACGCTGGTACAGTACTACACAAAAATCAGTAACGAACCAGAATTGCGTACATAATCATTCATACAAGATGTTTTACTTATATGGACATAATCTTCCCAAAGCAAAAAGTGATGCCATGACAATATTTAACTTCAAATTTATGAAACAGGAGTGCATCAGTACTACAATTGAACCGCAATTATAATTTTTGATTATTGATGGCAAATCAAGCAAGTGACCTTGGATTTGCCGACTGCCCAGTGCTCATTTGCATTTCCCTTAGACGTCACAAAAACCGTTCGAATGATAATAATTAACACGTACATCCTTCAACATAAGGAGTGGCTTAGCAAAGTGGCTGGCTCGGGGATTAATAATTCTGCTGCCACTCTTACAAATCTTTATACGAGACACACAGGGTTCAAGCGACTTCGGCAATCCCCAGCTCCATGGTCACGTATGCCTTAGCTTGCAGCCCGCGGTAATCAGATCACACCAATCACAGTGGCCGCATGCTCTAAGCCATGAACTGTCTTCGCCCGCTCAAACATTGGGGCCGTGGGTTGGAATCCCACTCGAGGCATGAATGTCTGCCTTTATTCTGTGTTTGTGTTGCTCTGTGTAGGTAGTGGACTTGCGACGGGCTGATCCCCCGCCCAAGGAGTCCTACCGACTGTCTTTAAGATTGTGAAACTGAAGTGAAACAAAGCGCTTCACGGATGCCCTATGCCCCAGAAGGAGCAACAGGAAATTTGAATGAATGGATGACTCACGGAAATTCAAGGTTTTGAGATACCTGGTACATTTAAGGTCTTTCATTCTGGTCCGTCACACTAACCAATTAACAATCAAGTTCCTTCCGTCAAATGTGTCACATTTGACGGAAGGAACTTGATTGTTACCTGGTACATTTGTTTACTATACCCAGTCGGACCCGCTCCACTGATGGTTTAATGCGTACACAAAGACCTTGAAAATGACTGACTTTACCATTAACTAATTAATTATGAGTTACGACTTTCATATTTTCTAGCACAACTGTAAGTAGGCTACACTAATTAGTTACTTGAATAATAACTTAGTTGTCGTACTTATTTACTTAATGATTCACTTCTTTAGTCACTCCGTTTATTAATTGAGATCTTACATAAATAGGATGAAGTGGTATGGACTAGGTTCATGTGGCTCGGAATGGAGACCAATGGCGGGAGTGTTCTTGTGCACTCGGTATTGAACCTTGAATTCCATAACATGTTGAGAATTTCTTCAATGACTGAGTAAATGTTGGCTTCTCTAGAAAGACTCGGCTCCATGAAGTTGACTAGTTGGTTGGTTGGTTGGTTGGCTAAAGTAAGGTTAGAGCATGTATCTGATACACTGATCTAGCTACTTAATAATTTTTAACAATTTACACCTCAAACACAGCTTAATGATGTTCTCTGCAGTATCAACGTTTCCTCTTTAATCTATTTAATCAGTGAGGCTGAGTATTCCATTAATAATTCATACGTCCAATGATCTCTGCTTCTGACATTTTAGCTTATTTCTGTGTAAACATAAGAAATTGCGGTCACGGTAGCCGAGCGGTCTAAGGCATGTACTGTCTTCGCTCGCTCGGAAGCCGGGATCGTGTGTTCGAATCCCACACAAGGCATGGATGTTTGATGTGTGTATGCGTTTATTATGTTTGTGTTGTCCTGTGTTCACGTAGAGGCCTTGTGACGAGCTGATCACCCGTCCAAGGAGTCCTAGCGTCTGTAAACATGATCATGAAACTGAAAAATGAGCTATAATCGTCGTTAGCCCTTGCGTTGGGCGTCATGTTCTGCTCGTTCTTACGTACGGCCTCTACGTCGGGCGCCATGTTACTATAATCTGTAACCGTCTGCCTATTCGTTTGGCGCCATGTTCTTATACTCGTCCTCTCGTGTTGGTCTTCGGCCGCTGGCTGCTGGACTGTTACGGGCGACAGCGTCTACAGCTGGCTCTACCCTGCTTCACTTATCAGACTTACACACCTCTGATCTTTAGGGAAATGGGTTTTGTTTGGGCGCCAGTAAACTGCTACCGTCAGTTTACAGATTTGTGAAAGGTGTGAAGGATTGATAAGGGGGTAGCGGTCGTGGGTAGCTAGTTCCGCCGGCAGAGCTAAGGTTCAGTTCTCAGGCCGTTTGGCAGGGTCTCGCTCAGGAAGGGAAGTAGGAACTCCTGTTATAACACACACACACTTTGTTGCACAAGACACTTTATTAAACTGTTGTCCATAGTGGACGCCACAACCGCACTAGCTTGAATTTGCGTCCGAATGGGTTGCGATCTGGAATACGGCTTTTTGCAGATTACCTTCTCCTCGAAACTCTCGGAGTCGTCTCGGTCCACAAGTCAACTCCCTAAATTACGAGGATTGGTCAATTTAAAAAAAATGGGAGTACACTAATTAAGTATTCCCCCAATCCGTTTAGGTATTACAGGGAATTTAGGCGCTAAAACTTTACGTAAATCCTGTCAGTAGCTTGACAAAGGTTACGCTTGGCTTGGGCAGAGAGACCACCCATCTTTTAAGTTATGGGTTCAAAACTGTCACATATTGTATTCTCAAAGGATTCAGACAAGTAAAATTTTGTGTGACTTCCTAAAGAGCCAAGCTGCGGGGG